TCCCAGCCTTAATAAAGCATCTCAAGCCCCAATGCGAAGCTGCCATGTGGAGCTTTCTCATAGGGTGGTGAAAAACCATGCGCCAACTCTCCCAAATAAGGAGTTGTTTGTCACAGACCACAGCGGAGCCAGCGCCATCTTGTAATGGCGACCATAGTCTGCAGAAACGGCAGAAGCGGCTCACCACACTATTTATTCTGTATGTTCATTTTGTGTGCAACTTGAATGAATTTGTTAGTTCTAGTTAGTTTTTGTTGGAGTTTGGAGGTCTTTCTTTATATATAAGGTCATGTCATCTTCAAAAGTGACAGTCTGATATCATCAGGGTGTGTGCCCCACTGCACTACACCAGAGGCAGGACCCAGTCCATGTAGTACTCCCCCCAACCCAGGCTGCTCCTTTTGAGACCAAATCCAACTGTGTTCTTCCCCCAGTGCAGTGAATGAGTTGCTCTGCTTAGCTTCTGCTATACCCCCGCCCCGAACTGTGCTTCCCATGGAGACTAAAAGGTACAGGCTACACAGACTGTGATGCATTACCTAGGCACATTAGATGACCCCCAACCCACACACAGGCCCTAGAGACTGACAGGGGCATGACACATACCATGGGCAACCTTACCAAGCTGCCAAGAGAGCTGCATTTCACCTGTCTGGTGCAAATAGAACAGCCCCAACCTTAGGCAATCTATGGATACTGACAGGTGACCTCCTGTTGCTATATTTGCATATAATCAATGATTATTAGAAAAGTGAAAAATAGTTGATAGAAAGATGACAGATCAATGATAGATACATAATAGAACCAAATAATATTTTCCACTAAGATGGCACAGCAAAGGAAAGAATTAGGAATGTGAAGAGAGAACCTACAGAATCAAAGAAAATCTTTGCTCACTACTCTGTGACAGAGGATTAATATCTATAATATATGAAGAACTCAAAAAACTTAACACCAAAAAATCAAATAACCCAATTAATAAATGAGCAAATGAATTAAACTCTTCTCAAGATAAAAAATACAAAGTTCAACAAATAACCCTTTCATCTATACACTTCGAAACAAACAAGTAAAAGCAGCTTTCAAAGACACAGTAAAACGGACTGTATTTCTCACAAAGAATTGAGAGTCTATTGATTTTTTTTGAGGCTTACTTACATTTAAATCTGAATAACTGTGAGCACTGTTCATGAAAGTGCCAAACATGGCTTATTATTTGGTAGACTCATCAAGCTAATGTTCTCCCTGGAACATTTTTCTCTTATAATACAAAAACCAAAAAATCAAACAATTTGTTTTGCCTTCTTTTAAGTTTTCCTTTATTCAGAATGGTTTCTTCAATAATTGCATGCCCCAGAGATTAGTCAAAGACCCAATGTCATAAAAAGGAAATGCAAAGCAGAAGTTGCATCTCTGGCCATATGCCCTTCTTGTTATGTGGAATGGAAATATCCACAGACCGCTTCTCACTTGTGTGAGACATAAACTCACAGAGAACAAGCTCTGAATTTAGAAACATTATGACTAAATTTGGTTGGGTAAGTTCTCCAACTATTCAAATTGACAGCATCTCTTGATTCAACAATGTTAGAGTTTAAGAAGCTTGATCAAGTTATCAAAACAATTTCATATTTTGGAAAGGATATTCTAAGATGTCAAAGATAAAATGAGAGTTTGGAAAACATGGATGGGTCTAGAGAAGAGTGTGAAGAAGAAAAACAAGTACTAGTCATGCACATAATTGGAATTCGGATAACTGATAAAAAGTCTTTTGTTGTTTTGTGCTTTATAATTATGAAAATAAACTTTTGTGCTTTTATAGAACATATGTAACTATTATCTATGTTTATCAAACATCAAACTGCTCAACTACACTTTATATTTTGATCAGACTTATAAATTGTTCATATAATGGCCATAGTATGGGTATAATCTTCATTTATACTTCCAAAATATTGAGAAAAAAATCAGAGTATTGCCAAAGGGCATTCTTCTTTTTGCCTTTCTAAGACACCAACAAAACACAACCATGTGTCCTCTAGTTTCTCTCATTAATTTTATCATATATCTTTGTGATATATATATTTTCTGAATTAATAACTTCACCCATATTGTGAGTCCTTATCAAGCAGAATTTATGTGTAGTAATATTGTTTTCCTTGATTGATGAACAGAAAATTAACATTATAAAGTTTATCTTTAAAATCTTCCCAATTTGCCACTCAGGAACCAAGTGCCTATGGATAGGACCAACACTTGACATGAAGTAGGTTCCGACAAGCTTATCACCTACTTCTGTTCTGGACAGTGCAGCATTCTTCTCTTGTACCCACTCATAAATGGAGGGCATTGGTCAAGTCTCTGTAATCTCAACATGGAGTGCATCAAATAACTGAGGACCAGAATTAACTTTGCCAACTCTGATTAATGAAAATATTCAGAACTTTGTAGAGTTTAATTTTACATGTAGGGTAGAGGGATTTTATACCAAGTGGCAAATTTTAAACATATATGTACGCAATGTGTATATGTGTGTCACCCTGTTTGCCCTCAGCTTTTCCTGATCTATGCCCAATTTTAGTCACTCAGCATTATTATTTTTTTCTATGAAAAATTCTTATTTACTTCTCATACACCTATCATTGCTATCACAGTTCTAATCTAAATATTCAGTCTCAACAAAAATATTTTTATTCTACATTTTTTGTCACTATAATCCTACTGGTTTTCAATGTTTGTGTTATGTATGTATTAATCTTGTTTCTATTATTCTTTGAGGGCAAATGCCTCTGACAGAGGAAGAATTAAAAACTCTTGATAACAGATGCCAGTTCATCACCTATATATGGTTGTCAGATTTTAATACATAACCTAAAATCTTTCTGATGTCATACACAGTTCAATAATATAAATTAAAGATGTGCTTTTTAAAAATATATATATTTGTTTTACTTGTAGGTAGACACAGTATCCCTCATTTATTTTTATGTGGTGCTGAGAATTGAACCCAGTGCCTCACACATACTAGGCAAGCACTCTACTACTGAGCCACAATTGCAGCCTGAAATATCTTCTTAATTAGATATGATCTAGTTTGGTGTCACTTAGACCTTATGCTAAAACTGCTATTTGCATGATTAAGGAAATGAGAGTGTGGTCATGGAAATGTGCTACAATGCAAGATTTAAGGGCAAGGAAGAAAAGACAGTACTATAGTTATTATTTATATCATTACATTTTACTCAAGGCAAGCAAGGAAAATATTCCTACCACTTCCCTCTAAGAACTGCCATTTTAATTTCATTTATTCATTCAACAATTATTTATTGAATAACTGCTTATGGTAAGCATTGTTTTATGCACTGAGAATATGACACTAAACAAATAGGGAAAGATCCCTGGTAACATGGAATTTATATGTCACTCTCAGAAAGAAAAAAAGTGAGTGCTCATAAGGCAAACAGGACTGCTTACATTCACCCCTGACTTTGGTATCCAGAACATTTCTTCAAGTATGAGCCTCCTGAACCATCTTTTTAAGTGCAATTATATAGATAAGGTATGTTAGAAGTACAGAGAAGCAACTGAAAGAGCTGGAACAATTTGGGTAACAAAATAAATAAAATATTATCAAATTATAATACAAAATATCCAATATTCAAGAGTCCACAGTGGTACAAATAAATATTTAAATAAATTAATAAATGATGGGAAAGAGACATCCTGTACAGAAGTAGTCCAAACAATTTATGTAGGTAAATATAAAGCAGGGGAACATAGCTCCCCACTCCTTAGGCGAGGTACATAGGACTTTCTTCCCAAGAGTATCGTATAGAAACAGTGTGGGGAGGAGGGAATCTTTACAGTGGAGAAGTGTGACAAACAGTCTGAGCCAGGAGATCCAGGCCAACATCAACAGTCATACATTATGTTGATCAGTAACCTCAATGTGACAGGCCAAAAATTGTGCTTCACCTCTATGGTCATCCCAAACACAGCAGACAGATTCCAATACTGGAGCATCGTGCAAAATACCTGACCAGTACCCCCTCAAAAAATACCAAGGTCATCAAAAATAAGGGAAGTCTGAGAATCTGGCACAGCCAAGAGGAGCCTAAAAATACATGACAACTCAATGTAATGTGCTATCCCAGGGATTCTAGAATAGAAAAAGGTATTAGGTAAAAGTTTAAAAGTCTGAATAAACTATGGGCTTTATTTAATAATAATGTACCAGTATTGGTTAATGAATTATAAGAAGTGCATTATACCAATGTAAGATGTTAATAATAGCGGATATTGGGCATAGGATATGTGGACACCCTCTGTATTATTTTCTCACTCTTCTATAATATAAAAGTGTTCCTTAATAAAAAAAAAAAAAAGTCTACTAAAAAAATAAATACAATCCTTAAGTTAAATGACTACTTTCTCCATGATGAGAAAGATCTATGGCTACCTAAATGATAGATTTGAGAAAAAAACTTTAAAATGTCTTTTGCAGGCTAATCAATGTAAGGTTGGCATTCAATCCGTTGCTCCATCTCTGCTGCTCTTCTCTCCAGCCTGCTGACCACTTGCCTTTGATGATCCCATTGCAACTTCCTCACAAGTCTCTGTGGAATGGCTTCTCTTAAATATCCATTTAATCTTTGTTCATTAAAGAACAAAGTGTCTTTGTTAGTACCAACACCCCCAGGGGACATATTCTTTGTTAGCACAATTGATCCCAAAGTGGCTTCTCTGAAAAGATTGGAAAATTGCTATTTTGGATATTAAAAACCCTACACAGACCAGCAGGACAAGGCCTTTGGCCACCCTAAGCCCTGGGTGAGGCTGGGGATCAGGGGTGCTCCCGGGCCTGGTCCAGGAGGGGTGGGCGGGGCCGGGCAGGCGGGGCCGCCAGGTGCCTCTTGCTGGAGACAACCCCAGGAAGACAGCCAGAGGGGGCGCAAGGCCTCTAGGCGCGCGCAGAGCTCAGCCCGCACTCTGCCAGCACAATGCTCTTAGGACTAAAGAGGCTGGTTCAGTGGCTGGGCCTCGCCGCCTTCCAGATGGTCCTGCACCTGCTGCCCCTATTGGTGTTCCCCACGCTTCTAGCACTGCGAATGGACGGCCTGGCCACAGGCCTCTCCTGGTGGAACGTGTTCGTGCCCTTCTTCAACCCTGCCGGGTTCAGCACCTGCTTTACCACTATCCTAACCCTGCGCCTCTTCCAAGACTGGGAAAAGCACCTGGCAGTGCTGCGTCTCTTCTGGGTTCTTATGGTCCTTAGCCTCAAGTGCGTCTTTGAAATGCTGCTGTGCCAGAAGCTGGTGGAGCAGACAAGAGACCTCTGGTTCGTCCTGACCGCACCTCTAGTCTTCATTCTGCTGCAGCTGCTGGTGATCTTCAGGGATTGGGAAAAGAGAGCTGCACAACTGAACTGCGGGGCCTCCAAACTGAGTCCCTACATGCATCACTCAGAGAAGAGATCCTGGTCTAAACACAACACAGCACCTGCTTGGCCCGGCTGAGTGACCAGTTTACTCTGTGATGTCTAACATTGTTTCTTCTGCAGGTATTTTGGGTTTGGGGGGGTTTTGGGGTTTGTTGTTGTTGTTGTTTGTTTGTTTGTTTAAAGAGAGAGCATCCTCCGTCTTTAGAATGTATTTCCTGTTATTCATGCTTTGAATACCTAATCCTGAATTGAGATCCTAAGAAGGGACCCAGCCCAGACAGTCCTGAACTATTCGGACAGTAGGAAACTGCACGTAATTAAAATGTCCCGAAGGGCTCTGAGTATTCAGCATGGATCCTGAGGGTATACTTTATGAAGGTGGCAAAATGAATTAGGATTTTATCCAGCCAGCAGCACTGATCAAAGAGCTCACAGCTCCCCTGAGCCTTGAGAGAGAATGGCCCTTTATTCATTCCAGCTCAGGCAGAGACAGAAGAATGCTGACAATGAGCATGATTAGGACCCTATCTGGTTCTGCCACCTGAGAAAAGAATCCCACTAGCAAGTAGTAGCTTGGCTTCCTGTTCCAGCAGATTGCAATTTCAGGACTTTCCCACCATCTTGTGGCCAGCACCATTAGTGCATCTGAGACAGATTTAGGCCTTTCAAAGGAACCAAAGACAGAAATAGGTGTTCTGATATTCCTGACATAAAGACCAATTTACCGGGGCTTGTGAGCAGCCCAGGTTTGTTGGCCTGAGGTCTTTGGTTTGATGCCAGTTAGGTGCCAAGTGAGAACATTCGCTGAGATGATAATAAGATAATGCTTTCCTGAAATGAAAAACGAACAAACAAACAAACCTACACAAAGTTCAGTGTCTCTCACTCAGGTAATCATTTCTCCTGGCAACAGAGAAAGCCCTAGAACTCTACTGTTCAATACATTTTGTTCACACCTTAATAGATATTTGAAAGTATATTCATCATTATGCTGTGTAGCATAGAAATACAAAACTAAATAAATAAATCTGCCCCAGAACAATAGAACAATATATAAGATATACAACCATGAAAGGTTAACAATACAAGAAACTTCACAAAACAGCATACATTGAAATGCCACCTGAGTGGCAAACATGAGTGTCTCCAATACAGAAGAGATTTTTCCTATGGTCAAGTAAAATAATAAGAGCACTTACATTGTTTACTATATGCTAGGCATCACACTAAGAAATATGTATGGCAATAATAGAGTCAACTAATAATCTATAATTATTATGATCATTACTTGTTATTAACTAAAAACAATATACCATTCTTATCATTCTTGTGTTACAGATAAAGAATATGGAGCCCAGGGCCAAAGACACACAACTAATCATAGGCGGAATTGCTGAGATCTGAACCCACATGATCTGGATCCAGATTCCATACACATCACCAGAACGCAATACTGCTTCCTATTGTGACAGACCCTGTGAAGATAACAGAACTCTACTTAGACCTAGAAGATATTTAGAAAGATGGAAGGATACGAAGTGAACAGCATATCTTGCAAGAGAACATGATCAAAAAATGGATTGGACTGTGCTTCAAGCCCTTTGAGTAAGCTTTCCTATGTGGGCAAAATTTTATCTTAGGCAGATATAAAAATTAGAATTAATTAATGATATTTACTATCTGGTTAATAAATGAGAGGAAAATTAAGTCTAAGTCACTCATAGAATTTAAGTCTACATGACTGGAAATACACTGCCCTTGGCATTAAGAGGTAATTAACACAGTAAATCAGTATTGTTCTTCTTTTTTAATTGGTACCTTATAGTTTCACCTAATTTAGGGGTTTATTTTTACATATTCATAACATAATTTGCTCCATTTCAATCCCCATAACTAACCCCTTTCCTACCTTCTGACCTTCACCTGATCCCTTTCCTCTACTCTATTGGTCTTCCTTCTATTAATTTAATTTTTAATTGGTATATTATATGTAAAAGTGGGATTTATTCTGATACATCCACACATGCACATGGCATAATTTAGCCAGTTTTATTCCATGACTCGTCCCCTTTCCCATCCCTCATCCCCTCCCTTGAACCCATTCCTCTATTTCATTGTTCTCCCTTCTATTTTTACAAGGTCCTCTTTTTAAAAAATAATTCATTATTTCTCTCTAGCTCCCTAATATGAGAAAAAACATTAAACCTTTGACTTTCTAAGTCTGGCTTATTTCACTTAGTTCCCAGCAAATGACATAATTTCTTTTTTCTTCCTTATGACTAAAATGCCACATTGTGTATATATATAACCTTTTCTTTATCCATTTGCCTTTTGTGGGACACCTAGGCTGATTCCTTAACTTAGCTATTTTATTGTGAATTGTACTTCTTGGTCATTTTCCCAAAATTGATCTTTCTACCTTCATTTAAATCCTTATTCCTTAAATCCATCATTACTATTATTTCCAGAATAATCTTACAAAAAGAAATACAAGTTCTTCTCATGCCTCAAAAATTCTTCAGTAGCTGCCTATTGAGAACAAATTAAAGTCCAATCTCCTTAAAACAGCATTTCAGAACTTTATTGACCTAGTATAAATTCCTTCCCACTGTCCTTTCTAACACTTTCCCATACCATAGCTTCAGTTTGGCCACAGGAAATTACCCACTAGCCTCTGCAACACAGTCTACTCAGCCTGGAAGAACCATCCTCCTTCACCTACCAAATATGTGATTCATCCTTAAAAGACTCAAACAATTCAAAAAGAACTTCCAAAAACTCCCACCCTCACATGGGCTCTGTGAGCATATGCTTTACTTTCCCTCCTGTTACTACTGAGGGATTGTGATAAGTAAATCATCCCGGGGTGGGAGTATTAACAAAAGGACAGTGGTGGCCACTACCCCGAACTAGCGTGTTATAGATTTTTCAGAATTTCCCAGTAAACAGGAAATAATTTAAAGTGTTTTTCCCCTGATAACTGAGTCAAACTTGTCTAGGGATAACTATCCACCAAGGCCTCTTAAATAGCTTTCAGGCAGTCATATAACTCAGTCAGAAAAAAAGTAAAATTCATTCCTTTTTGACTGTCCCTATATGAGCTCATGGATTTTTTTCCCTCACCCCTCACATTCCTGTTTATTTTTTAAACATCTTAATGATCTTTTTTCCCACATATATACATAAATCTACGTGCACATAACTGAATAGATTGGAGACCAAACCTTCACTATGCAACAGACCACACGACTACTCAGAAAAACACTGCTCCCACAGTCAGCCCCCTCTCCTCCTAAATCATCAGCTTTTAACTTACACATTGTTCTCATGCCCTTACATGCACATAATTTATTCCATTCTAAAATCCCCTTCCCTATCTCCATCAGTGACTTCATCTTCCATTTCTCTTTGGATTTTTCCATAAATACTTCTTAGATTCCTTCTTAGTCATCTCTTCCCATTCACACATAAACCTATTCCCATCAGGCTTTTGCTCTCACCAATCACCAAAATAGCTTTCTCAAGGTCACCAGTGACCACCCTATTGCTTTTTGTAATGATCAAAGTTCACTCATCATCTTATTTGATTGATCTATCTGCAGTACTACACTCGGTTAATCACTCCTCCTGCTGGGGAACATTTTCTTGCTTACTCTTTCAGAATACAACATTCTCTTCTTTTGGTTTGCTTGTTTCTGGATCAAATCACCAGTTAATGGACATTAGGGTTGTTTTTTATATTTGCTATTATTGTTAAAATTGTAATGAACATCATATATAATTGTTTTATAGACATATGTTTCATCTATCTGGGATATTGCTATGCTATGTGACAAATTTATGTCTAACACTACAAAACATTGCCAAGCCACAAACATACATTGGAGAAAAGTAGCCTCTTCAATTAATGGTGCTAGGAAAACTGGAAATCCATATGTAGGAGAATGAAATAGAACTGCTATCTCTTACCTTGACAACTCAAAGTGGATCAAGAGCCTAGGCATGACAACAAAGACCCTGTGCCTACTAGAAGAAAAAGTAGGCCCAACTCTCCATCATGTCAACTTAAGAACTAACTTTCTCAACAAGATTCCTATGCTGAAGAAATTAAAATCAAGGATCAAGAAATGGGATGGTATCAAACTAAAACCTTCTTCACAACAAAGGAAACAATAATGTGAAGACAGCCTACAGAATGGGACAGAATCTTTGCCACTTGCACCTCAGATAGAGCATTAATCTCCAGGATATAAAAAGCCTGAAAAAACATCAGAAAATAAATAGCTCAGTCAATTAATGGGCAAAGGAACTGAACAGACACTTTATACAGGAAGAAATATAAATGATCAACAAATATATGAAAAAAAGTTCAACTGATCTCTAGGAGTTAGAGAAATTCAAATTAAAACTACACTGAGATTCCATCTCACTCCACTCAGAATGGCAATTATCAAGAATACAAGTAACAATAAAATTTGATGAGGATGTGGGGAAAAAGCTACACTCACACATTGTTGGTGGGACTCCAAACTGGTGTAACCACTCTGGAAAGCAGTATGGAGATTCCTCAGAAATCTTGGAATGGAACCACTATTTGACCCAGTTATATCATATACACAAAGGTATTAAAATCAGCATTCTACAGTGACTCAGCCACATTAAAGTTTAGAGCACCTCAATTCACAATAGCTAAGTTATGAAATCAACAGATGAATGGATAAAGAAAATGTGATATGTATACACAATGGAGTATTACTTAGCCAAAAAGAAGAATGACATTATGAGATTTGCCGGTAAATGGATGGAACTGGAGACTATCATGCTAAGTGAAAAAAGCCAATCTCAAAACACCAAAAGCCGATTATTCTCTCTCATATGTGAATACTAATAAACAATGTGGAGGTGTTAATAATAGAAGTTCACTGGGTTAGACAAAGGGGAATGAAGGGAAGAGCTGTGGAAATAGGAAAGACAGTAGAATGACTAGGATATAACTTTCCTATGTTCATATATAAATACTCCACCAATGAAATTCTACTTCATGTATAACCACAAGAATTGGATCCTAATTAGAGT